GCTCAAGCCCCTCTAGCCCCCCCCCCTCTGCACGTCCCTGGTTAAAGGGGTTTTCAAAGTAAGTAAATGAATAGAAGTATAATGAGTGGCCTTCATAGCCATGTTCTTTCTTCTTTATTAGACATGCTCTGTCGCCATCTAGTGGACAATCTGTTTCCCCCTGCCTGATTAAGGTAGTGAGACCGCATAATGAGCCTTCCAATCATGCGGTGCCCTCGTGTTTACCCGTGAGATACAGACTTAAATACTTGAGTAACAAAACTACATGGTGCGTAAATCTACAGAGAAGAACTCGACATGAGTCGTTCTTTTAATTAACTGTATGGAAACTTCAAACCATAGGACCATAATATTTCTCAGTTATTCATAAAGGGCTGTTTTCCAGTTAACTCGCAGTTTTTGTGAGAGACCGTCACCCCTGATTATGCCCACCGAGCCGACCCATACTATAGGCTCTATAGGTCCTGATTTACATATGTCCAGCCAGGAAATTAAGCATATTTGCATTCACAAAATAAAAGCGTACTGCGTTGAAGACCGTAAAGAAACAAGACGGAGACACCATTTTGGATGTGGAAATTATACGTGTTTTTGTGGCTATAGATAGGTATTTTCCGGGTTTTATTGTTGATATGTGTTTCGTGTGACCCATATAATCATAAGATTGGTTTGGTTAAATTGTACATGTGTCTGTGGAGGCTGGGGGTAAAAAATAAGCTTGTTTTCATTCTATATTGTCTCTTCACCTGTTTCCAGAGCCTACATAGAAAGGCAGGCATCATCTCGTTTCCTAACAACCACCAACTAACGGACTAAAAATTACAAATTTTAAACATGTATGAACCCAAGACTTATCTTAAAGCATCACGTCACTTTAACTCCAACCATAATCCCTACCATGACAAGTCATGACGCACCCACTTTGCCTGGCAACCACCTAACGACGGACTAAAATTACATTACAGCAGGACCTGAGCATCGCAGGGGGACCTTTTGAAGCACATTGTCCTATGCATTTTTCCTAAATTACATTTATATGTTAACTATAAGACATTTAATTTTGAAAACCATAATCAAATTCAAGTTGTGAAATCGAGTACAGACCCAGCTGTTTTTGTTTGTTTGTTTGTTTTACTTTTGTATTTTCAGTTTTCTCATTATGACCAATATTGATCAAGACCAAAAATACCGCGGCATGAGCAGGTACAAGATAAAATAAAACCGCGAATATGCTCCGCAGCTCTTTTAATTTGAAAGCGGAAGTGTGATATGCAATGCTCGACGAGGGGCTACGCTGACTGTCAAGCGTTTGGAATAGGACTACGACGTGTAGCGGACCGTGTTCAGCTGTAAAATTCAAAAGGGCTTGGTAAGAAAAAGGAAAAAAAATATTAAATATTTTAGAGAAGTAAGCTATACGCGAACCCGGCGTCAAAAAAAACAAGGCTGACTTTCTTTTTTGTGTGAAAACCTAGAAGTTGCATTATGGATTCGGGGAAACACCCATGCGCTCCACCAGCGGAATGGTCCAGTGAGAAGTCCTCCATGGGCCAAGCGCCCCCTCCACCCTACCAGGACGACAGTAACCCTGGCCCTGGATATCCACTGCAGGTAACCAGCACATTTAAAGACACATTTTTTAAGACAATCTAAAAAAAAAGAGAGAGAGAGAGGTATTTAATCCAATAAAAACGTTAGTTATATTTTCTCTATTTACCTATAGACTGCTAAACAATGTTATCATGTAATCATGACTTTTCCCATCGGTTCGTTCGGTTGTGTTATTATGATATTCATCCTGCTGAG